GACCTGGAAAGTTTCCTTATGCATATTCTCATTTAATGTTTTGGTAAAGATGTTGCTCAGGGTGTGCTAAGTGCAGATTCTGTTTGGTGAGACTCTTTTTGACTTGCACAGCCTCGGTTTCATCTACTGCAGTTCTTGCAGTGATAACTTTCGGTTCCCCTTCTGAATACCATAGAGCTGAAGTTCTCAAACTTTTTTACGTGGACTACCCTTTGAAATATTACAGGCTGTGATGTCCCCCACCCAATATACACTATATATATATATATATATATACACACACACACACACACACACACACACACACACACACACTCATAGTAATAGTGAATTACTGTACATACTCAAAAGCATTTATCATCATAATAGTTTACAATAGTGTTGTGAGCATCTTTTAGATTGGAACTTCCAGTTTGAGAAATGCTGTTTTGGAGCTTAAATTTTCCATCAACGTGTTTCACAATTAAATTTTTTCATTTAGGGTAGGTTGCCAGCTCTTAAACAATCTTCCTTGATAATTTACCATTCAAAGTAAAAGTTTTATCTCAGATTGTGAAGAAACAACATGTAACAAACCCTTTGTTGGTTTCTACTTCTCACTTATATGATTTTTTATATTTTCATAATTCATGAAACAAGACTTAAGTTTTTGATTTTACATGGAACTCATTCTCTTCTTCACTTACTGCTGTAATTGATTTTTTAAGTCATTTTTTTATGTTGTGAGGTCTCTTATTTCTTGTCATCTCCAACTTTCATTTTAAAATCTTTGACTTGAAACTATTTTGAATCTTTATTACACTTGGAACATCAGATTTCATTCTTTTATGATGTAGTTTTGTTCAAGCTTAATTCTGCTCAATATTGATTTGGCTTACATGCTTTCAAAATGAACCATACATTATTTTCATGGAAGTTGTTATACTTGGATACAGGGTTCCCATGCTTCATGGAATTCTTTAAAAGTTTTAGAAATAAAATCCTTTCCTGAAAAATTCTTAAAACTCCTGGAAACTTGAAATAGTCCAAAATTTAATTTAACTACTTAATTATCAATGTACAATAAGCTTGACATCAAAATGTTGTTTATAATTCAAATTTTTATATTATCTAAGTTTTAATTTACCAATTTCAAAAGGAGGTATTTATGAGTTTTAGAGTGTAAAGCTAATTAGAAACACATACAATAGATATTGACAAACCAGAATATAAAATTTGAAAATCTAGTCTTCTTGCTTTACTCAGATATCGCTGTATTTTTCATGCCCAAATGACACATCCTCCTATCTCTGGAGAATATGTTTCTTTACACGTTTGTTATATGTCTATTTTATATTACCTGCCATAAGTCAACACTTCCTTTGATATTCATTATGTGTTGTAGTGGTTGTTCAGATCCAAGTGGCTAATGGAATTTTTTAAACTTATTTGTAATTTATTTAGAAAGCCAGCTGGATTATAGTAGTTTTGGGACATTATATTCTTGTGTGTGTGTTATATTTTTTGTGTTCTAAAATGCATATTTGAAAGCAGCATGAATTATTTTGTGTACAATCAACATTCTGTGAGAAAAGTAGTCTTATCAAAGTATGTTCTGAAGTACAAATAGTCATATAGCTGTTCCATTGTGATATATAGAGTTTCATGTATTTTGAGATGGTCTAAAGTCATACTGCAAAAAAAAAAAAACTGAAAGATAGCAGATGTGAAAGGCTAGAAGCCTAGGCTGTCAGGATAGATAAGTGTAGTTGCCTGTTACAATCTGTTATCATTCTAGAAAAAAAAAAGGTTTTTTGATTTTTGTTTCATATAGTCTGGATGGTTCAGTATGTAAGTTATTAAAATTAAATTGCTTGCAAATCAGAATATCCTTGTAAGGATGTATTCTGTGGACCAGAATGGCAGCAGTACTTGTGCATGTGAAACTAATTTCTCATTATAGTAAAAATTAAAAACACAGTTTACTTACCTAAAATACAGGCAAAATTAAAAACTAGTCCTGTTTTATTAATCAGTAAGCCATAGTTTTCATAATTGATATAGTTAATCTTTTCATTTTTCTCTAGAAGTTAATGAAACCATTGTTAGAAATAAAACTTTCTCAAATTTTCTCAACATTAGCATTTCAAGTTGTAGATTTATTCGTACTTGTTTGATTGAAAGTCTGAAGAGCCTAGTCTGAATTTCTTTCGTTGCTATTGATATCTTTTTCATCTCCACTTTCAAAATCCTCATCCAATTAATTTTCTTTGAATAATGTTTCATTTTCACATTTTGAGCAGCCACAAGCATCAGTTTAAATCTACAACTTTCAGTTGGCAAGTAGATTGTAGACATTTGTTTTTTGTTTGTTTTTTTGCAATTGCAAGAAATTAATTTTAGAATTGACTCTGGAGGCAGCTTTTCCTTCATCCAATCAATTGTTAGCCTTCCGTTCTCATCAACCTTCCAGTTGTGCTCCATTGGGTCATAAACTAATGGCTTTCTGGTTGTAGTTAACTTAAATTCGTACCATTAGTAGTTTGCACTTGCCAGGTGACAGTTCAGGGCATCTTTGCTAAATAATATCTGCTGAGTATAAGGAACCTATTTTCTATTCTAGATTGACTTATATCAGAGAGTATTAACATACATGAGTCTCATTCTTTCCACCATAAACCTGAAAAATATACTCTTCAGTGATTCCTTCTAATAGAACAGGAGACTCCCCTGATGATTTGATTACTTCAACAAACCTACTAGTGAAGCTACTTGGGTATGCAAGCCAGAAAGGACATTCTTCAGACTTTACTGAATTTGACTGTTGGAGATATTGAGAATACACACATTCTTTCTTGTGACAGTCTCAACATATATATATATTGGGATTTTTAATTTCATACTGTAATATAATGCAAAAATGCCAAAAACCATGTCAGACGTTACAATTGTAACAGCATGAAACCAAGCTTGGAAGCATATTTTGCACAGAGAAACATTTTTGCATCAGCCTTTTCCTATGGACTTTTTAACACTTTTATCTCATCCCTTTTGACTCTTTGGTTTGACCAGTATATACCAGGTGATAACTAACATTCTCTGGCCAGATTTTTCTAGGTAATGCAAGTCCTCAGACTAATCATCTGCAAAAATCTGAACTAACTATTTTGTTGTTCTCTGGGTTAAAAAAAGGTACTTGTGGAACTGATTTGGCCTGCATTGAACTCTGCTTGTAACAATTTTTCACTCTAAAGACTTAAAGAATCTGTCCACATAGTAGTCAGAAATGAAAAAAATATGCTAGGCAGCTGCCTTTTTGATAACCTTGTTAAAAGTACAATCAGAAATTTGCCCAAACATCACAAGCTCTTAACAAATCTTTTGAAACATGACCATGTCATTAAATATGAACGCTGTGGCTTCAGGTAGTTTCCACTTACAAAATGTTTGATCTAAGGCTTGAAAAAGCTTCGATTTAAGCTCATAGTTGAAGATGTCCTTAAGAATGATATCTCTTTACTCTTTTATCATCAATAATCTTGCAAATGTTTACATATCTGACTTCACAATCACATTTTCAGTCTTTTTCATATAGAAGCTAGTGTTTTTAAGATTAATTTAATGAATGGGGTTGTAAAATGATGTCTTGCTTGATTCAATGCAATCAGATACAAATGTCTTCAGGCACCTGCTGTCTCAAGTACTTGCTCTAAGAAAATCATTCTGGTCATCTTCACAGGCAAAAACACCAGAAGACAGGCTGACAGTTACCTCACTTTTTATCAAATGGATTGATCTACTGTTTGATAGTTTCATAACAACGTTTTGAATTTTGCTCATCATTCAATTTTCATGATGCTTCCAAAGATTTTTCCCAAGAGCTGTTTTTATATCTGAAGATATGGATGCAGTTTCATGGTTTGAAAATATCCATCTTTGCACTGTTTCTATGGGTGTACTGAACCCAGTTATACCACCAGAGCCCTTTTGCTCTTTGTTTATTGTGTGCTCGATCACTTAATCTGGTGGTAGCATGCTGAACCTACCAGAGGATCTTATTTTGTTAACGTTCCCTTATTTGAATTCACTGTAGATGTTTGATCAGTTGAGTTAATCACCCAGTTCTGATGACAAGTATATTAAGTATGGCTACATTAATGTAAAGAATTAAGCCAATTGTCTAATTCCATACCATTGTTTTTATAAACTATGGAGAATGAAGCCAGTATTTATGATGTTACTTTTTCTCACATATCTGTTTAATCACTTTTTGTGCACCCATACACTCCTGTGCATTTGATTTTTTTTTTTTTTAAATGTGTGGTTTAAGAGTGATCTCAGTCTTTTATAGAAGCTTCTTACAATGAAATAAAAATATCAGATTGAGCAAAACAAACGTAAAAAAAATCTAATAATTAGTGAAAATTCTTATCATCTAAGAACACAATAGTATTGTGCTTTATAGTTTTATTTCCATTTCTTTAAATATATATGTATATATATATAGAAATAATTCATAAATATATGATAATGATAATTCAGACTCAGTTTTAAAAAGTCTAAAATTGATAAGAAGGTTTTTAAGTTTCTGTTTGTTCATGTATTTTTCTTTCAGTTTTTTGATAATGGCAAAATTTCATTCTTAAAGAAATATGAAATATTGTGTAGTATTATTACTCTTAGAACTTCTTTCTTGTGTGAGATTTCTCAAGTGCCACCAGAACAAGTCTTACAAAGTACTATATTTCATGCATTAGAGTTACTCGCGTATACAGTCAAGTTGAAATGGCAAGTACACTTTGACTTTAAAATAGTGTGTTTAATATTTGATTTTTAAAGAACTGTAAACCAAGAGAGAAATTAATTGTAATTTTTACTCTACCTATTTGAAAAGCCTAAAAATTGATAAAAAGTCGTGAAAATAGAGGTCATAACATGTCAGAATTATACTCCTCCTTTACTTAAACTTTTAACTAAGGTTTTATTTCAGCTTGTTGTAACAAATGGTCATTGTTTTTCAGACAGAAGCTGAGTTGGCCAGACAAAATCCAGGTAAAAAAATATCAAGCACTAATAACATTCCTATTCCTCGGCTGCCTCCAAACCCTTCTCGTGTTGATCGTTTAATAGTTGATGAATTAAGAGAACATGCAAAAGTAAGTTAAAGCCTTCCTTCAATCATATATATTATTTAATCTACATAAAGTCCTTATAATCAAATAGTTCACAAAATCCCCTTTCTAATGGTTATAAGTATGTATGATTGACAAGTAAACATGAGTAAGTAAGTGATTTCAAAAGCATGAAGAGTTTGGTGGAGCTTCTGTGATGGGTGTAACGAATTTATTGATACGTCAGAAAACAGAAAATATGAGAGATTTGTATGTTAAATTATGGCTTGTCAATATCTGTAGTTGGTGTATTTAATTGGTGAAAATTCTGAAACCTGTATAAGGAAAAAAAAGCAAATCTAAAAAGGAGAATCCATAGCAGAGAGATATCATATGAAACAGAGGATTAAAATTTACTTAAATATTAGCATGTGTTAGAATTCAGTTCCGCTATAACGACATTCACTTGAGGGGGTCTCCTCTTGTAGGAATTTTGCTTGGTTGTAAATGTTATTATTTTATACTTAGACTTTCTGGTTGACTTTTATAAAATGGATACAAATAGTGCTCTTTCAAAACCCATGTTAAGAAAGAAGAGTTCAAAACATTTTCAAGAGTGTTTTGAAGGAGGGAAGCATAAAGACACAATGTATTGTTGTGACAATTAACCTATAAAACCAGCCCTTTGTATAGTCATATACCTCATTAGTAAATAATGACTAAAAAAGCAGTCTAACATAATTATTTCATTTGCTATTTTACATTTGACGTATGTTAGACATATATCAATAACAGATGTGGTATTCCCATGACTATAATTTACCTTTCTTATACATTCAAAAAATACACCACAACCATAGCAAAATGTATAAAATAAATGACACACGTGTCACACAGCACTCCCAAAAATATTTTAGCAGCAGTACCAATGATGCTCATATGCATCATGATACGGATTTTAGTTGAATAAGCATATATGCCCATAAATATGCTGTCTGATATTATCTTGCATTATTAAAATGCTCTTACTAAAAAAAAAAACAATGACACCTGGCACGAGTATTGATCTCCGAGACAGCAGTGGATGTGTTGAGGAGCAATTCTAAGTATTCATTCATATTGTCTCCCTTACTTAAATAATTTAGACATTTGTTAAGAACTTTAACATTTTCTTTCAAAATAGCACAAAGGAATTTAAAAGGTGTAATTTTGTACTGAAAATATACTGTTTGTTAAGTTTCTAGAAAGGGATTTTGTATTAAAAATATAAACATGAGCTATTACTATTTCACTTAGTTTTTTGTGCACAATAAGTATAGCACTTTTCATTAGGATGCAGTCAAAAGTAATTTTTTTACTCTTGTTTCTCATATGAATGAGAAATTTGTGAAAACCAAGGATTATTTTGTTCTTTAGTTATTCTTAACTTCTCCTGCATATATGGGTATTTCATTCCAGCTGAAAGATTCTTTTACTGTGTATGTTTCTTCATTAAAACACCAAAAAAGCTATAAATAACCCTAGTTATAGCATTTGTTTTTTTTATTGTGTAATATTGCAAGAAATAGTAATAAAGATAAATAGATGTTACTTCTAAACTGTTAAGCTTTTGAAATGTCAAAAAACATGATGCACACAACAAACTTTCATTTTTGTTTCCATTTAGCACAAATTTTAGAAAGTTAGCATTATTTTTGTCTTAAGTAGTGAGAAAACATGAGTGTAATTATTACACTTATACATACATTGATAAAAATATTTTCAAAGTGTTTTGAAAGTCTAAACTACACGTGCATGTGGTTTGTATCTTGTATAATGAAACCAGATGCCTAATTTCTGGAAAAAATTATGTTTTGTTAACTCTTCATTTCCTTTTATAAAGCTACCTTACAGAAAAAAATTAAGAAATCACTAATAATTGGGCATTACTAAGAAGATTACATGTATCTATAGGTTAATTATTTAAATCATTAAAACTTTTTTAACATCTAATTGAAGCCTCTTTTATTACACAGGTTATTACTTTAATTGCAAAAATGGAGCAACTGAGAGCCTCAGATATACACAAAAACATTCATAAATCTATGGAAAAATGGCTGGAGGCCATTCGCAATGTTCAAGCTCGTCGAAGAGATGAGATCATTAATGCGACCAATCGTCATCGTGGTGGTGGTAACAGATTCCAAGAAGATAAAGGTAAGATATCATGTAGTCATTCTTCTTCTTTGAAATTAACACAATCCATTTGAAAAAAAAAAGTTTACTATTAGGCTACTGTAGTATTTATATTATTTTGATAATTATACAATGAGTAATCTCCAAGGTTCTTTTCAGAAATTCAAAGTGTCAGTAATGTTTAAGTTTTTTTTGTCCCTTTATTGCACTTATACCATCTTTTTCACATGAGTACCTGTCAGTTAATTAATTGTGTAGATTTATTATGCACAAGACACTTTGCAACCTCTATCCATCCATACGTGCCACAGCTTGCCTGGTAACTAGTGATAGCTTGATAACCCTTAATACATTATACTACTTTTGTCTACAAAAGACTTGTAATGTTTACTAAAAGCTTGCCAAATCTCTTAAAGATACAATTACTACATTAAAAGCTATAATAGTATGTATACCTTCATGGTTATATGATGGTTAAAGTGACTGAGCCCATATAGAGAGAGTTAAGCTCATTATATGTTTGGTCTGTCACCTACTTTCATGAAACATTTGTAATTTTATATTTGTATATTTCTATGAACATTTTATTCACTATAATTGAGGCTTTGTTCAAAATAATATCTAGTTATACATATCAAAATGATATTATATCAATATAGGCTTGCTGGTAATTTTTTAAAAATTGAAACTAACCAGAAATCCCTAATTTAGCAGTTACTGAAAGTATAGCAAATTCCATAAGAAAATCTACCATGACACACTCAAGTAACTCTTGTTTAGATGCAAATTAACTTGAAAATTGGTCACATATGAGAAAGTAATTGTTTGTTTGTGTGATCTTTGAGTATCAATAACTATACCAGTTTCAACTCTCACTAAGCGAAGTGTTTGTTTCTTTATGTCTCCCTAAGTTTTTTTAAGTAAACAGTTATTTGAATTAATTACTATATTAATACTTTTCTTGTGACTTACTATCATAGATTTAGTAATAAATAACTTACATAATTTGATGTTGTTATAGAGAAAAAAATGAAGATTGCTATGATTTGTTTTGTTTTCTTGAATTATCAAAAATCTATTTTTGAAGCATGTTTCATGGTTAGTAGTCATTTTGCTGTTTCATTACATGTTATGATATCTGGATGTTTAAAAATACAGGCTAGTTACTCTTCCAATACAGGCAAAATAAAAATAAAGATTGAAGTAAAACATTTCAGTAACTTATCAAAACACAGCATACTAAATGCATATTTGTTAAAACTGACAAGCATATCAAGTCTCTGAACAGAAACAGGTTTGAATTATCCTCTGAAGTTTATTTTGTATGACTGAATGGAGTTTTTTTGTTTTGTTTTTTTGCAGTTTTCACATCCAGAATACCTTTCTCTGCAGATGTTATTGCTTTGGCAGCAAGTATCAATGAACTGAGTAAAGCTTCTCGAGGAGCTCGCACCTCCATGTGGTGTGCCTTAGTCACAACCATTTTATTCAGTGTGGATCCAGATCTAGCATCATCCCAATCCTTTTCTGATGATGCTCAACTAAAAGAACAAGAATCTCTTTCTTGCAAGACTTCTAGCGAGTCATTCCTACCAGAAAAAAGCACCATATCGGTCACAAAAACTAATATAATCAGTCCATTGCCTACAGTCGATGTAATTGCCTCTACAGCTACACCCTTTAATCCTGTTATCATGTCACAGAAGAATAAATAATCTCTCAACTGCAATTATAAGGTGAAGGGGCATGAAGAGAAGAGTTTTCATGTTCTGTCTCTATTTTTCACTACCAAAATATTTATTTACATAAGTTCACATTCTTAAGTGTATACAACTTCCTGTGTATCAAGTTATTGTCTTTGTTTTTCCAAATTTTGCGGTGAAGAATGGTGTTATCCAATGCTTTTTTTCTTATTGATAAAGTTCATTTAAAAAATTAATAATTGTTTTTTCAAAATATGTTGATACAGATATTTTCTATTAATGCATTGGAAATTTGTTTTGTCATATATAGTATTTGATTCTTACTCATTGTATTTATAAAGCTTTATTTCCTTTGAAAGAATAATTCTGAAGAATCCAGACTTTCATAAAGATATCATTTGTTTAGTTAATATAGTTAATTTTATTGTCTTACATGTCATTCTTTTCAAATAATGTAAAAGTAAAGCTTTCACCTTTTGGTTGATAAATAGAACAATGGATTTAAGCTAACTAATTATTCATATCCAGGTAGATTCATTATACAGGTATTTTTGAAATTTATAGCTTGCATTATTTAGGTCTATAGTATGTGTAACATTTACACACTATTTTCAAATGGATATGATTAATGTTTATGATGCTTTAGTGTATCCACTCTGTTAGACATTGCTGTGATGTGGATTGGTGGACCTTTTGTGGATGTTGGATATATTTCCTAATGATAGTGCTTGTATGTGATAAGCTTTATCTTAGATAGAGTCAACAGTTTGTTAAGTGCCTCAATATACCCTACTCTCTCCCTTTTGTAGCACAAGTAGATGTTGTTTTTAACATTTTCTCATAAAGTTTTATAGATTTTGACAAAATATAGCATGCGGCTACGTAAATAGTTCAAATGAGATTCAAGAAAATATTGATGTTGTTTAGATGTGATGTCACTCTCAGGGTTTCATGATGTTATGTCCCACCTTCTTACAGAAGAATTGAAGTTTTACTTTGTCAGAATTCATTGTGAAAGTAAAATGTTATTGTAGACATCTATATCCAGTGATCTGTGGCTAAATTGGCCATGTGAAGTTTGAATCAGATCTGAGCTTTTTATGGTTATTTAGCACATCAGTTGGTGCCAAGTATATATATATATTGTTCATAGTTTTGTGGTGTAATCCAGTCATCTAGTTTTGCTACAAATTCGTTGTTTCATGTAGTATAAGTGATGTGGCCTTTTAGATAGCATTAAAAGTTGTATTGGTAGCAGATTTTAATATTAGCATATAAGTATTTTAGTGGTTATTAAGCAGGAGTAATCTGCATTGTTATACAATAACTTAAGATTTGGAAGTTTAAATGTCGTGTTTTTAGCTCAAAATGAACTCTTCTCCCTCCATTACACATTGCTTATAAAATATGCAAGTACTTAAACAAGAAATGTTGTAAATGATAATTGTGTAGGAAAGTACTAGCCCCTCTTGTAAAAAAACTTTTATCTGTGGTAATAGTAGCTAGTCAGAAAGTTTGTGCAAAAAACTTAATTTATATTTTCTATCAAACAATGCATCAAACCAATACTTCTGAAAACCATTTATGTAGATGCAGTTTTAATAATTATCAGCAGTTGTGAGACATTAAATCTTGAGAGGTAAAAAAAAAAATACACGTTAAACATCTTTCTTCTTTTTTTTTTCTTTTTTTTTGTACTAAAAGGTCTTCAGAAGAAAAAAAACATTTTATGTGTTCATGCAATGCTCAGTAGATTAAAGGTAGCTAAAAGGATAGGAGTTGATTAAAATCATTAGAAGACATTTCTTTTAAAATGTAAATTATTAGTTGATACATATCTTTAAAAATCTTTTAAAGAATCGTATTTCGTAGTGCAGAAGTTCCAACCTGTTTTACTACTAAAATAAATTAAATGTGCAGTTGTCGTCAGTAGCAACATATATAATATCTGTAAGAATGTGATAAAAGTTGTCGAAGTATTAAATAGTTTAATCTTGGAAGCATGCCATATAGCTATGTTATGTATGTCCAAAAGTGACATTAGTGGGCTATACTTACTTAAATATTTGTTATACAGAAATAACATATTTTCTCATAGTTTTTTTTAATTGTAAGTGACAGTTAGAATGTTTAGGATTTTTTATATTATTTGAATGAGCTCTGAACAGCAGATTCAGTTGATTATTCAATGCTTTATGGTGCCATACGTATATTCTACATAACAAGACGTTTGTTACATTTGTATATTTGTAGCATTTCAGGTAATATCTGCATTTTGCTGTAAAAAATTTAAAAGAACAAAAAAATTCATATGTATAAGAAGAATTTTTTAAAGAATAAACAAGGTTCACTTAAATGGCCATTAAAGAAGGGGGAAAATAGTCTATGTTAATACAAAATAAATATGTATAAATAAAAGGTTAAGTTAGAGGAAAATCACTGGTAGGATATTAAAAGAAAATGAGTGGTTTAACTAATTTTTTTTTCTTATTCTTCTGGTTTTCAGGATTTATTTTGTACTTATTTTGGAAAAGCATTTTTTTCAAGTAAATCCTGCTTGTTTTTCCAACCTTTTTTTAGGTAAAGAATTCCTGAAATAATCTGTTTCTAATTTAAGTAGATATGATTATTAGTAGTAGTATTGCTAAAAAAATAAAAATCTTTTATTACTACAAGTTTATGTTGGTATATTAGTAAGGACAAAGTAGATGCTTATACATACAAAACAAAAATATTGGTATTAATTTTTCCATGTATGCATTTAAACAATTTTGAATTATAAGATTGTAACCATACATACAATTGACAATCAGTGCAGCTTGTAAGTGATAACAGGACAGTAAAAAAGGAAACTAGGGGATTGTAAAATTAAATAATGATTATCAGTGGCTCAAAATTACATTCTCTTTTGCTATTGTACTCTATATATAGTCTTGCACTCCTCCTTATAACTTAAATATTTGTACTCATAGTACAGGAGAATTTATTTCACTGAGCTGCTGAACCATATAATATGTCCAAAGAGGTGAGTGCTGTGCCAAGAATATCAGTTTTGTGTGTTTTAAAGGTGTTTGTTAATGTTTTAAACAATTGACAGCTTTATAGAATCAGAGTACTTAATTTTCACAAATGTTAGGAAATTGGCTTCTTTTTTTTATATATATAAATGTAATTTAGAGTACAGTGGTGGTGCTAATTTTTATAACTGCTTTAGTTATTTTTAGTTAAAGATTATAATATTTTCTTTCAAGTTTTTCCCCCATCAAGTTGAATGTATGGTACCTATTAACCTTTCTTTTGAAGTAGTATAATGTGTAGAAACCATTAATGATAAAATAATTGCAGCTTCACACCCATAGATCCTTAAAACCCAGTTGTAAGTACGCAACTACCCATTTCTCACTTAAAGTACTCCTACCGTGGAAATTTTAAATGTGTATTTGATGAAATAAAATTTTGATAAATATAGTTGAAAAGAAAGAAATATTAGTTGTGGGGTAATCTACTTTCACTATTAATTTTTCATATATTCTGTCTGTCAAGGTGTTCTCATTTGGTGTTTTATAACTGTTGATTAGAAAGGTTGAGTAACTGTATTAGCCAAGTAGTTTTATTAGATCTTTAAAATATGAAATTGTTAAACTAATATTTGTCTTAAGATGTGTGATTGGTGTGTTGTGTATTAATATAAAATCTTTGAATACTAAAGTAATAGGATTAATTATCATATCTGTTTATTACAGGTACTCTTGCTTATTTTCTCTGGTTACAGTTCATATTTGTAATGCACTTTAAAACTTGTATAGGTTTAGGTAATTTAAAATGTTTATAATTATCTATAAAAATATCTTTATTATAATTGTTATATGATCTAAATGCATTCAGAAGGCTGCATTCAATTAGGCATTGGCATTTATTAATACTGCCTCATAAACATTTTAGTAAAATATTTGTGTGCTTAGTTTTACTTTATTGTCTTTCTTTCAAGCTTTTCAACCCTCTTAATTCAAACTAGAGCTAAGAATTGAATCATGCAGTATCTCTTGGCTGTTGTTCAACAGCTAGGGGAGTATCTTTAAAAGTGCCTGTTAATATTTGAATTAGGACATAATAATAAAAAGATAAAATAAACAGATCATTCACTTCAAAATGGACAGAAAAGGTTGTATATTTTCAGTTTATGAAAATGTGGACATGCATGGTGTTGTATGTGAAAATAATCTAATGTTTTAATTTTCTGAAAGTAAGCTGCACCAAACTCTGTCAATTATATATAATTTATTTTAACTTTTTCATTAGTTTAAAAAAATTATAAGGCAATTACAGTATATCTATGTTTCAAAATATGATTTGTGAAAGTTAGCAGGTACAGATTAAGGACAATTTTTTACTGACTGAATGAATTTTGTTAATGTTAAAAGATTTAAGACACATTTATCTTTATATATATTAGATATATATATATATATCTAAATTCTTAAAAATACATTTACACCTAATACTAGTTTTCTTATTTTGTTCTAGTATCTAGTCCAATTTAATTTAGTGTCATGTGATACTGCATTTTGGTACTAAAATAGTACAAAAAGCAGACATAATTTGTAGTAGGAAATTGTTGATGTAGATTATAAAAATGAATCTAATCTATCTCTTAATATCTGTACTGTTAAATGTATTTACTTTTGAAATAGAATGGAGTTTTAATGGGGTGGAATATATGTAACTATTCTTATGCTGTAGTGTTAAGAAACTTGTATTTCAGTAATACAGAAATTAAGGGATGTGCATAACTTAAGAAACAACCCTCAGATCAGGGCCGTAGGAAGCAGTAAAGCCAGTCAGGTCATGGCCTGACCACTTTTTCATGACACTTGTTGCTACAGCTTATGTATTAAAACTTGCTTCTTTTAATTCAATACATATGTTGTGTGTATGCAGTATTTGTAGTTAAAAGGCTTAAGATTCAATCTCATAGCATTAAATTTTCAAAAATTTTTTTGGGGGGCATGCTCCCAGACCCCCTCTAGAAATGGCAATGTGGCATTGGCCTGACCACTCCAAAATTGCTTCCTACAGCAATGCAGATACCCTTGTTTAGTCAATAATTTTTAATTAAAAACCATGCTTATAAGTTTTTCTTGTATTTTCACATACTGTTTAATTTAGTTAAATACTGTCATGAAAAAAAGTTATATTGTTCCTGGTAGCTGTATGTTTATAAATAAATGTGTGTGTGTGTGCATGCAAATGTGATTTTTATG